GGGAGGCCGTTTTTATATTTAATGCAATATATCTGTTATTTATGTTTGGAGAAAAAAATTGTTCAAATAAAAGTTACTTCTAATATTATTATCTATAATTTTTGTTTTATGTAAAAATTTCCTGAAATGGTCCGTATTCGAAAAATTTGACAAAATGTGCAAAATTCTGATTTTTATGAAAATTGTTGAAATAAAAGTTGTTTGCGATATCTATCTCTATAATATTTGTTAATACATGATTTTTTTAAAATGGACCGTAATGGAAAAATTGTAGGAAAAGTGCTAAATTTAAATTTTTCATTATTTTCATTTTCAATGAATATCTATAGAAAAATGTTTCGAGGTAAATTTATGTGTAAAATGTATATATTTAGTTTATCCTCTAAACATTTATAGAGATGCTGCAATAGGTTGTACAAAATAACCGGAAAATGCCTATAATAACTAGATAGGAAAGTCATGTGTTGGACACATCAGATTTTTATATTTGTTTTCACATTGTCAAACAACTTTAATAGACTTCATTTATTTGCTAGGTTGTATATAGGGTGTTTCAAAATGGGGGTAACGATTTTCTCATTTTTTTTTTTTTTTAATGGAATACCCTATATGTCATACCACCAATCAATTAATACAGAGTATTCCATTAAAAAAAATTGAAAAAATCGTAACCGTACGTTTTGACACACTCTATATACAGCATAGCAAATGAATAAAGTCAATTAAAATTGTTTGACGATGTAAAAACAATCAAATATGTATTACTACCTGCAGGGTGTTTTGCTTTAAAAAAGTATAGATTTGGTCAGCACCTCGTTTATGGACCACTCTGTATATTTAAGAATATTTGTTAAATATGGTCATACAACTTTTATATTAAACATTTCTTCGTACTTCTAATAATAAAACAGCTATCAATCAATTATGCACTGATAGGAGACCCTGTATATGTATTATTGACCATCACATTGTTATTGTTACATGGGCAAATTTATAGGGAATTGTATGCCATGATAATATACAATGTGATGCGTTTGACAATATTGAGTAAATTAAACTTAAAATTAGCCATATTTAAGACATGTTTCAAAACACTCTGTATAGAATAAATAAAATAAATAATAAAGTCTGTATATTAAATAATTTTGAAATTAATGTAAACATACCTAAATTATGAGAATTTAATTTGGGGTCTGCATCATTCTCTAATTTAAAAAAAAATTGTTTGGCAACCCTGTAATATTTTTTAAAAAACATTCTAGGTTTACATACAGTATTCCTAAATCATTCTTAAAATAAAATATAGGGTGTTCTATTCAAAAATCATACATTTTTATTTGTCAGGCAAAAACGCAACACCCTGTAAATCCAAAAATATTTTTAAAATATGTATTTTTCAAATCCATATTGTAACATGATTAGTAGTTATTCTACTATATTGAAAGCTCACTATACTTGATTTTAGATTAGTGATAAAAATATAGAAAATCACTAACCACTAACAAATAATATTTAAACCATGCTTTTGATAAGATAACTATCAAATTCTAATTCACATAGTTTTATTAAATTCAATTCTAAGATGAATTATTAAATAAGCACTTATCTTTTGGTAAATGAAGGTAAGATAAGGAATGTAAAACTGGGTTATCGCATGGTATATTCTCAGGCAACTTCCACAAAGGGATTCGGGATCCTTATTCGTAATTCTGCAACGTGAATGATCTCGTGATATTTGGTATTCTAACATAAACTCGAAACTGTCTAGATCTTCTAGAGATGAATCAAACGACGGTCTTCAGATTGTATCAAAACCAAAACGTCTAGGTATAGGTATTTAAAAAATTCTTGTACAAAATATATATAGTTTTAACAATATATCATTATTAAAACTTACCTTATAAAATCAGACGGCCAATTAGAATATTAAAAATCATCTAATACTTCGGTTGACCAAGATAATTTAAAATAAATGTGATCTATTTGAAATACGAACTTTTGACACAAGGCATAAACGACAAATGACATTTGAGTAAGAGGTGATTGTGTCGAAATAACGAATAACGGTTCCAACTGTTACAAATATAACTTTTATTAAAACTTATTTTCTTGTCAATAACACAAATTAAAATATTGAACAATTACGAACTCATGGGACCCTGTATATAAATTTTAATTTTCAATTTGCAGGAATATTGTTATTTTAGATGACAAAGTTTGAGAAACTCTGTTTTATTGTATTTGTTTTATCTCTCTATTTTTGTTTAAATTAACGTTTAAAAAAATTGATGGCTTGTGGGGGGGGGGGGGGGGGGGGGGGGGTAATTACCCCCCGTATCTACGCCCTTGGTCGAAATTGATTTCTGTTGTTTATAGGTGTTCGTCTTGTGCTGTTTTGTTTGTTTCTTTCATCTTGGTCTCCAATCTGCTTCTCCATTTAAAGTTTATTATTATGTTTCTGTCTTTGTGTGTGTGTTGGCAATTTGTTGTAGTCTTAGTACTATGTTGTTGTTAGTTTTGTAGTTTTGTATGGTTTGTATCGTGTTTATTGAGTCAGTGTTTATTTCGGTGTCAATGTTTGTGTCTTGAGTGTTTTCTAGGTGTTGTCTGAGGTAGTCCAGAGCTAGGTATGTCCCGAGTAATTCCAGTGTGTTTATATCACAAGTAGTCTTTATTTGGTATCTTTTGATCACTGTCTTAGTTTGTCCGTTCTAAAGAGTCAGTCCTATGTGGTTTTGGTTTTGTTTTTGTGCAAACTGTGTATTTACTGTGTGTGTCTGTCGAGTTGGTGAGTATTGGACGTATTGTTGGGTGTACTTTGTCAGTTGTTTTTGTCCTGTGTGTCCGAGGGATTGTTTAATTGTTTGGTATGCTTTCCAACCTATCCTAGCATCGACCTGTAGGAGTGTTACTCCCGCGAGGTCGTGCAGGGAAAGGGCGGGCGTAGTTCGATACGCTTTGGCGATGGCTAGCAGGAAAGGTCTCTCTGTCGCCTGTAGGTGTTATATTACTCTGAAGTCCGCATATTGGTACAATCTCATTGACTTTATGGCGTTGTTAAAAATAAATCTGAATATATCTTGTTTTCTGCCCCTGTTTTGCTGTCGTTGTAGGTCAGTTTGTTCGCATTGGCCCAAGCCTCTCATATTCTCCAAGTGTATTTCCATTTGTCTTCAATTTGTCTAAGAGATGTGCCTGATAAAATTAGTATTTGGTCGTCGGCGAAGGCTTGGACCAGGTCGTTTTCATCCCGTTTGTTCGTCGTGTCCATTGTCGTAAACCACATGTCCATTAGTAGTGTCCATAGTATCGGTCCCAGACACGTAGGTACAGAATACATTTTTACTGTAGCAGTTATACCTATTTTGCTGTTGTCCTTGCAATGTTAGGGCGTTCGTCAAAGTCGTCTTAAGAAGGCTGTTATAGAAAATACTAGGGTCATATATACTTGATTAGAAAAATTAATTAACATAACCACGTTGGCCCAGTTGCTAGCGCACTTACCTTGTGAGAGGTGGCGGGGTCGCCAAAAAGCGCTCGAATGCCCTCGAATTCAGACCTGGTGACCTCTTCAAAGCCTTTAACACAAGCTGGCATACCGGGAATTCATAAACTACACTGGACGTATCACGCGGACATCCATTTAAGGACAACCCTGTTTCTTTCGCGTGCCTTTTTAGAGAAATTACTACACAACTAATGACATACACAACTTTAAATTAAGAGAAATTATCGATTATGGCAAAATCAACTAAAATAAGAATAAGTATGAATTTTTGGAAATAAAGATTTAAAAAATGTTCACGATTTTCATCATATTATTCTTTAATAAAACATCCTGTATTAGGAAATTTAAATACTTATCATATACTTAGAACGTAGTATCAAATGAAAGTAGATACTTATTTCATACTGTACACATTCTTGAAGTATATTCTCAGTATCTACATAGCACGTTTAAACAACGTCCCGTAGCATATAGGTACATAGTATATTCTGAGAATGTATATTCTCAGCATATGCGTATTCTTAAAAAGTATATACTAAGAATGTATAATTGTTATCTGGGTACCTTTTAAGTATATCGCATACTTAAAACGAGAATAAACGTGCTTTATTTAAGCTTCTTCAAAATATTCAAAAGAAGCAAAATAATTCTTAATTTAAGATGTATCTATTATCAAATTAAGAATAAAGTAATTCTTAGATTAAGAAATAGAACGCTATCTTTAAGCACGCTGCATATAATAGTGCTTATATAAGGGCAGCTATCATTCTGAAAACAAGAATGTGTAACCTTAAATCAATCACCTAGCATTCTTGTTAATAAACTTAAATAAAATATTTTTTATGGCCGTTGGATATGTTTTCCATTTAGCCAAAATAAAGTATTACATTTTAATATTAAAACTGTCCAAAATCTTGAACTAAGTATTTGAATACTAAAATCAAAATTGTACTATTTTTATTTAAGTATTATAAATAAGAATAAACATACTTAATTGAACAATTTTGGTGTTCTATTTAATCACTCATTTAGGGACGATTTTTCAGCATGCGTGCTCAAAAATTTCTTAAATAAAGGCTTTGCTTAAAAACAATTTGAAAAATGCTGTTTTGCTTCAAATGCACATGAATTTCTCTCTACTGTCGGCTTCCTGTCTTTCGTTCCAAATCAAATCATTTCTCGTTTTTTTACGCTACGAGTTTACCCTTGTGGGCCTCAGTCTTGATAAGGTGGGAACTACCAATTTAGCGTCTTTCGAATTTAAAAATCTTTTTCCTGGTATAATTAAAATAGTTTAGAATAAACTTTGAAAATAATTTATTTTAAGTCCATTAATCTGTTAAAATTGGAAAGAGAAATAATAAACTGTTTAAAATTACATAGAGCGATTAAAATAAACTTTATTAGAAACACCGCTGTATGCGGACCTGTATAATGTGCGCTGCTGACGAGAATTTCCTTTTATTAGCATAAAATGTATTCGCACCGGTTTTCACCTGTTACAATCAAAATGAAATTGGAAAGATAAATAAATAGTTCGCTGTATCTGGGTATTTTTAAATAAATGATAAGATTACAGTGATAATGCTAAACGTAATGAGAAGAAGCTCAAGGCCGACTAGAACCGTCGAATTAGACAATATTAAGTTAGCTTAATTTAACACTTTTCTAAATGTAATTCTGCAGTTGGTACAGCACATCCTGTGTAATGTTGTTTGCGAAATTTAGTTCGCTATCGTGCTAATATATCGTTTTTAATTAATAACTTATATATTTTTAGAAATTGGTTAAATATACCGAGTGTACCTATAATCGATAGTTGAACAGAAGTGTTTAAGTGTGAATAAACTGTAAATTTGTGTTTTCAAATTGCGGGGTGAGTACTATAAATATAAATATATATTTAATAAGGTATATATGATAATTTTTTCATCATTCATCTACGAAAATAGGTATAGATTTATTTTAAAGAATATTCTAATGCTCTCAAACGATCGTTAACAAGCTATTTTTTTAAGCTTCTGATTGGGTGTTGATTTCGTCTGAAGTAATAAACTTAGATTAATAAATGTGTGCCCCCTATATACATCTGGTTCTGTTGATGAAACAAACTTTCAATCAATTGTATAAATTTTAACTCTATTTATTGAGGATCGGTTTCTTTTTAAATCCACTTTCTAGCTAGGAAAGTCAAACATCGCTCAGTCTGTATAATAATGCTCATTGTAAAAGCTCTTCTTGTTCGCAAACAGCCCATCAAAAATGTATCGTTGACGTTGCCACGTCGCTCAGAAAATATTTGTTTTGGTCGTTAATATACCAAAATATTTTCGATAGCACTCCTTAAACCTAGTTACCTTCTGTTTAAAAATAACTGATTAGACTTAAATAAACCCAGTTTAGATATTTTTGTCGTTCTTTCAAAAGCATTTTGACACAGTATGCCACATTAAACTGCTTGAGAAATTGGAACGTATTGGGGTTTGCGGAAATTCACGATTTATTAAAAATCTGACTTTAACGTCTTAAAATGGTTTAAATTTTATAAATTGATACTTAATTTTGAATAACAAAGTATTTACCCTTTAGCTCTTACATCCATAAAGGGCTCTTACGAAACTGCATCCCAAAAAAGGGTGTCCTACCTGATTCGAAAAATGTCCCAACAAAATTGCATCCCTCATAAGGTAATGGTAATTCCTAAATTTTTCGGTACCATGATGGCCCTAAGTGAAAGCCTTAACCTCGTAAACTTGTTTCTGGGAACGCCTTGGGTGGTCCAACTATAATGCACGATGTTAATTGTGCATCACACCTTAACGTTATGTTTTTTGCCCAACTTAATTAGAAATTTCTTTATTTCAATGTTTGACAAATTCAACCATGGAGAGGTACACAATTGAGCAGTGCGTTAAGATTGTTGAAGCCTTTTACGAAAATGGGTTTTCAAATCAAAATGCACTTCGTGATTTTTTTGGTCAGCAAAATGACCAAATGTGTCCACAATTTTCAGTAAAACGGATCTGTTGGAAATGTGAAAAGACCTGTGGATGCTCGCCCAGTTTGTTCTGCAGAAAACATTGCTGTTGTTCGCAATAGTGTGGCAGAAGGGCCGTCAACCTCGACTCGTTGTCGTGTCCAACAATTGAACATCTCGCGAACATCCCTGATGCGAATTTTGAATAAAGATTTGAATTTACACGCTTACAAGGTTCAATTGACTCAAGAGCTGAAGCCTACTAACCATTTCAAGCGTCATCAATACGCCGAATGGTTGGTTAAACAGACTGAAGTGAATGGCGACTTTACGAAGAAAATCATTTTCAGCGACGAGGCACACTTTCAACGGCAGTGTTATCTCACGTCGTGGCGATGTTAATTGGCCGCCACGATATTGTGATTTGACACCGTTTAACTTCTTTCTTTGATTATACTTAAAAGAAAAAGTGTACGTCAGTAAGCCAAGAATAATTCAAGTGCTAAAGGATGAGATAATTCGGCACAATAACGACATTGAACGTCAATTATGTCTCAGAGTCATTGAAAATATGGACCACCGGATAGAGATATGTCACCAAAGCCGTGGCGAGCACTTGGTCGATATTTTGTTTCATACATAATTGTCATATATCCTTCTATCATAATAAAACATATTAGGATAATTCTCTGAAAACTTTTCGTTTTATTTACAATTAACATCGTGCGTTTTGGTTGGACCACCCATTAGATGCTTTTATGAATAGCAATCTGATAATCTGCTGTTATCATTTTTGGCAAAACAGGGTGGTTAAGTTTGACACACTCCTCTATTATATACTTAAAAACAAGATTGTATGATAAGATTGTTTTATTAGGAAGGAGACAAAAAACTAATGGAATGTAATGATTATTTTTAAGACCATGAGTTGTAAACAACTGAGTAAAAAAACGGAAACAGTATTCAAAGATACCATGAACATACCAACAAGAAACCGATTTAAGGTTTGATAAACACGAAAATATGACAATATTATTTTCTGTGTCATTTTTAAGCAAGAAGTTTTCTTTCTGATTGGTTAAAATAGGAGAGGACTAAATTGCCATATGAAATTTTAAAATATTTTTAGGATTTTTAAAAATAAGAGAAGATCTAGCATTGTATATACTTTGATTCAATCTTACAATGTCTTTTGTGGTTAAGGTCTCGACTGTAGAATTTTTTTAAGTTCGTTTCTAATGAGTTTTAAGGGTTTTTCACAAATGTCCTCCACAGCTTTACACTTAACTAAATTACTCACTAGATTTTTGTTAAAAACTTCATCAGATAACTTTTGATGATTGTGATCCAAAACTGATTACACTATTATATCGTCAGATCCTTGGGTTTTCACAAATGCCTTATATGTTCACTTACTACATTGCTATCGTTTCCAACACTTATTAAAAACGGAATGAATAGCCATGAACTACCAACAATGACATGCCTCTCTCACTTAAACAAAATGTTGCTTTCATTATTAACACAAACATAAAGACGAACTAAAATTAATAATATTTGGCGATAGTATACTGGTCTCCCTTTCCCTTGGCATTTTTAAAATCCCACCCCATAGATAATCCGTTTATACCTGGAACTAAAGCTAATTAAAAGTCCATTTGGTAATTTAAGTTAGTTTTATATCCAAATAATCTCATCACAAAACAACAATTATTACTATGTTAATTACTACTAGAATAACCAGTATATAAAAATATATCTTCCAATAATTCTGTTATATGCATGTCCCATTTTCTAATATTTTTCTGGTAAGGGTTAAATAAAGTACCTTTTATGTATGTTTCTTTTACTTTGTAGGTAGGTACCTACTTTAAAAAATTACATTTGACATTACTGGTTAAATTTTCGTATAATTTTAGTAGTAATAAAATTTGCACCGCGGATGCAGTTTCGTTGTATATACCCGGGATGCAGTTTCGTTGTTAAAAATTCTACCTGCCTGATTCGGGATGCAGTTTCGAATATTCGCCATGAACTACCCAGTTTAGGATCATTAATAATTGACCCCAATGTCCAAATTCCGAAAACAACTTCAATCAAATTTTTAATATTTAGTAGTAACATTAGACCGACACTTAAGATTGGATTTACATATATTTATGTCACATTTACCTATAAGTCTACGAAGTTTTTGTGGCATTTTAGATTTTTAAAGAATATTTTGGATTAATAAAGTCCCAATTAATTTATGGAAGGTGTTAGTAATACTTAATATAATTCAAAAATTATTCTTGATTACTATTAAAAGACCGAACCTATTCCAGCAGTAAATTGAGCCTAATTACTTAATAATAATATAATAATACTACTTCCTCTAAATTCAAAAAATAGAAATCAACAAAAATACATAATATCTAGTTAATAATATCTATTAAAGTTATAATAAATAATTATCGCTACTGGGGTGGGTTGGCTCAGTGGTTAGAGTCAAGACTTTGAGATCGGAAGGTCTCAGGTTCGAATCCCACCGTTGGCCGGGATTTTTTCATTTAATTTAATTATTTGAAATTAATTCTGATGCCTTGGTAGGATTCCCCACTCGACCATTCACTGTTGGGTTCTAATTAACAGTGCTGTTCCTAAAGTGGCGCTGGGAAACAGTAACAAAGCCTACACAGAACACGAGGCTAATGGCCGTAGTAGTCGACGCCGATGACACCAAAATAAAAAAAAAAATTATCGCTACTACAAATTTTTAACAAATTTTACAGAAAAACCAAAAGTGCTAAAATAATCGGTGCTAAAATAATCAGAGCGCTAGCAAACCCCACACCAAAGCCAGACAATTCTACAAAGTTATGTCAATTTGGCAGGAGCCAACATTTTTTTTTTTTAAGAACTAAATTTTAATTCTCAAATGTGACCAATTTTAAAATAAATAAGAAAAACTCGAGTGCAGATGGCAAAATTAAGTGTAGATGGCGTAACCATTTTTATTCGTTGACTACTTACACTCTCTCACTCCATCAATGTAGGCGAGTGAATTTTACACATCTGGCAGACTCTATTACAGAATGGAGTCGAGATTATCTATTGCTTGCTGATGAATTCATAAGGACGAAACTGGCCCAGAAATGAGGCTCTCCTTAGGAATCAAAATCAAAGTTAGTGTTGAAAATTATTTACTAATTCTACTATTTTCCTTTTGATATAATGAAATGCCCGTTGCGGTATTAGCCAAATAAGTAGATGTTTTTAGGAGGGGAATGGTCGCTTGGCGTTTCTGTGAGATGGACTTTTTCTCTTTTCTTTTTTTTTGAGTTATATATTTGATAAATTAATTTTGGAAAGTTATCAAAATTTGTTTCAAATTCTGTTGTTTAGGGCCCCATAGAGTAAAGGCATATTTTAATTTGCTTCAAACGAGAAAAAAATTAATTTTTAGTTGAGTATGTGTCTGTAAAGTTCCAAGTCGTGCGTTTCAGAAATCCTAACAATTTGTTAGCTCCTTTGGTAATATTATGGATATACTCATCAAATTTAAAATTATTTAAAAAACTATTTCCAAATCACACACATTCCCGAGTGCTGATCGTTGCATTGTGTAGGTAAAATGTTGAGGATTAAAAATTTAACTGAATGTACTTAAATACCTTGCGCTTGGAAAGATTAAAAAGTAATTTATTTTCTAATGACCAATCAAAAATTAAGTCCAAGTCATTTTGAAGGTCTATATAATCATCTAGTGGATATTTTTTTAAAAACTTTTATATCATCTGTATACATGAAGCAGTCTGATATAACACGTAGATTGACAATTATTAAATTAAAGGCTCCAAAGCCTGCGAGGATTGTATGTCATGCTTTGGCATTACGTATTAAGACCTTAGTTTTAGATA